GGTTTCCGGTTCCTGGTAACCTCTTTAGAATTGTTTGCCCCCCTGTGCGGTACTGAATCTTGTCTTTACTACCGAAGTGTTGACGGCCCTCTGCCTTCGTGGATGTTCCTCATGCCGAGTACCTGCTACCGACCTTGTATATTCTTTATTTGTTTTATTGTTAAATTAGTGTTTATACCGTTTACATTTAATTTATATCTTTGCTTTCTTACTTTTTTTCCAAATTTAATTTAAAAATATAAATATTAATATACAAAATAGATAAAGCCGGCCCTGAAGTGTACGTAATTGGGATACGGCCCTATGGCCACGACCCGCCGTATGTGCCCTCTGCCTTCGTGGATATTCAACCCCTTTATTTATTTATTTATTTTATTGTTAAAATAGTGTTTACACCGTTTATTATTATTTAATTTATATCGTGGTCGTTTTGTTTATTACTTTATTTACTTTCGTTATCTTGTAAAGCTTTAATTTGTGGCTGGGCTGTAAGTTTATGCGTATATTATATAATATATATAATACAATAATATAATATTCTTACTTAATTTGTTTTTTTACACTTCTACGCTGTTATCGGTAATGATTAATTGTTGCCAGGTTTTGTTGCAGATTTGCGTAATAGGTCATGCAATGATACTTATCAGAATCTGCAGGTGATGATCCCTTCCACTCTTGGTTAGACTCGTTTTTTCTTTAAATAGGTGATTTCTTGACCTGTTCCCTGTCACTTTATTACTTCCGTGTCCGCCTGGACCCCACCCCTGTGTGAGATTGCCTTTTGAGGAATTATTTAATGTTTCTATTATCCCTTAGGAGAACAGGTACCCTGTACAGGTATGCAGTAACCCAAAATAGTAGCAATGTATAGTAAAACCATTTTATACACCTATTACAAAAAAAAACACCAAAAACATACTATGTGGGTGAGCCAAAAAAACTAACCTATTGAATTTATGGGTTAAAATAAACCTATATACCAAGAAAAAAATGTCCCTGCAAGGCAGGATTTTTAGCTCAATTTTAAAAGGTGTCGGTGAGCATTTAAAGTTTCCCATTTAAATAACACCTAAAAAAATATTCTTTCATTAAAAATACCATAACTTTTGAACCGTTTACGATAAAAATTTTTACGTCGCGGATTTTTGTAGAGCATAAAATTTCCTACAAAAATCTACCCCATGATTATTTTTTTCAATTAAAAAATTCGTGTATTTGAAAGCTTTGAAAAGTGAAAAAAATCAAAATATTCAGTTTTAGTGATTTTTTACACTTTTCAAAGCTTTGAAACATACGAATTTTTGAATTGAAAAAAATTATCCTGGGATAGATTCTTTGATAAATTTTACAAGAATCCGCGACGTAAAATTTTTTATAGTAAACTGTTCAAAAGTTATACTGTTCAAAAGGTATTTTTAATGAAAGAAGATTTTTTTACGTGTTTAAATGGGAAACTTTAAATGCTCACCGACACCTTTTAAAATTGAGCTAAAAATCCTGCCTTGCAGGGACATTTTTTTCTCGGTATATAGGTTCATTTTAACCCATAAATTCAATACGTTAGTTTTTTTGGCTCACCCTAAAACATACACATTTCACTGAGGATTTAAATTGTTCAATAATAATAATTCGGCGACAAATATTTTTATATAAAATAGGACTTTTTAAAAGTAGAATTTATAATTGCTTAGTAATGTCATTTTCTGCATTTAATTTAAAGAGCTTCAAATAAAAGTGTTTTTAATATTGCTGAACAATTTGATTATTCATGCTTTTTGTTTATTTAACTTTTATTAGAATTATTTTTTGTTCTCCAGTTTTTAATTAATGTTTCGCAACAAAATGCTTTAGTTTGATATTTGTAATATATCAACGTATATATTTGCGTTTTATCTTTATTTAAAACAATTACCAATATCCCAAAATACATTTATTTAGACTTTTATTGAGGTAAAAGCAAGTGTAAAAGGTAAATTTGTCTTTAATATTAAATGAAATGAAGTGGGGTACATGGCAGGTGCGAGATTTTTCCCATTATCTTTTTTCTTGCTTCCGATTTAATAATAAACGAATAGCATATGTTCATACTTTTTTGTGAATAATAAAAGATTCTTATAAAAAATGTTCTTTGGCATATTTAATATTATTATATTAATGAAAAGTCAATTATTATTGATAATAATCTAATTAGATATTGGATATTTGTATTTTTAAGGGCAGATTTGTTTTAAATGTTTTTCTAATTATGATGAATACAGCAATTTTAAAGCTTTATTATCTTTAGGTTTTTGTTTTTTTTGTTTAAATTTGTAGTTTCCCTTGGAGTAACTTTAATTAAACTACTATGTTTCAATTAAATATCACTTACAAATTTGTCGTTAGCTAACATTTTAGAATCTAAACACATCTACATAAACTTTAGAGCAAGTAAGTTTAAAAAAGAACGCCGCGGTTTAAAAGTTGGTTCAGGTGAGTTTAAAAGCAATATAAAAGTTGAAGTGATGGATCTTGGGGGAAAGGTTAAACAATGAGGACTTTACCGAGTGATATAATTACAGCCGGGATTGTTTGCCGAAGCCAGTCATGCAAATAATTCGAGGCGTTGATCAAGTTGAGGGTCCCATTATCACTTTTGAATTGGAGACGGGAAAAAAACTTTATTTTTATGTTCCTATAAATCGAAATGAAAAAAGTTTTGTGTCGACTGAACGGACAAAGAAAATTTTCGGTTATTGTGTTTTTAAATTGGAATTTTTCATTATAATCAAACAATACCGTAAACCTTTTGTGAATATAGGATTTATATTAAAATTGTAAAACATTTTTATGTTCATTAAAACCCGAAAAAAAAGTATATTTTTATAGTATATTATGTATCAAGTTTGTTTTTATTCACGAATTTTAATTAGGCACGAGCGAGCTTAAGAGTGAGTGTTTAATTAAATTAATGTCTAGAAAATTTAATAAACGAGTTGCCTACTATACTTTTTTTACGACAAATACTTATTATTATCTAAAAAAGATTTAAATTAAATATTTGTATAGAGCAACATCTATAAAACAATAGAGTTAACATTCTTGAAAATCTGTATTACCAGCGCGCCGGTAAAAATGTCAAATTTTTATGTGTAAATCGAAATGTATCCTTCAAAAATGGTCTGACAAGCAATGAAAGTCTAAAAAATGTTTTATGGGCACCCGAAATTAAAATAGTTAAATCTAGTTTACTGCCAGCGAAATTAAGAGGTAAGTACAATGTTCATATAAACTTTATTGGCGTTGAGAAACTGTTTAATTTTATTGTATTTTTGTATTGAGATAATAAAATCATTTTTACCTTTAGTATTATTTTACAAGCAGGGCTCTTTATTTGTCAAGGGGACATCCATTAATTACGTGAGGCATTTTTATGATAATTTGGACCCCCTTGGTGAGATTTGGTGAGATGTGGTAGACCCCCCTATCCCTAACGTGAGCCATTAAACTTTCTTTGCGGACAACATGTAAAAAAATGAATATTTTTTTAACAAATTTGAAATTATAATACTTTTATATTATTTATTTATATTTTTTAAAGTCAAGAGTTGTCGTGAGATTTAAAATGACCCCCCTCCCTTAAAATGAGATTTGGTGAGATTTTGCTCCCTCCCTCCCATTTTTGTCTCAAGTAATTAATGGATGTCCCCCAACTAAACTAAAACTAACTTCAGCCCGTGACTAAAAAAATGTTGCTTACTAAAACGCCACAACTTTTCCAAAAAATCACTTAGTGCCATTAAAACAAACAAATAAAATAAGATAATAAATATTTTAAGTGAATACATATTATGATTGACTGGACATAAAAATAAAGCAACAAATATTACAAAATTTGACTAGACAAGACATCTTAATAGTAAACAAGTTTGTTATGAAATCGGATAATATTTATAAAAAAAAGTTGCGCCAACAAATTTTATTTGTAGCTATAGCCTCAACTAAAATCTTTGTTACAACAACAAATTTTTTTTGTTGAGACAATATGTTACTTTAACTAATATTTTTTGTTGACAAAACTATAGCGTCTTGTTTAAAGTAACTAATATTATTGATATCTCATACAAAATAATTTGTTGGAAAAGCTATGGTAATGAGTAACTACAACATTGTTGCTTTGTTGTTATAATATTTGGTTGTTCTTTTATTCACCAAAAAATAATTTTTGTTAAAAGTACTTAAACAATATTAACCTATGCCTACACAATATTGTTAAAGCAACTCTTTCAGTATGTAATACTAATTAATAAAAAGAGTTGCAATACACATAACAATATTGTGTAGGTGGGTATTTCTTATGAAATCTCAAAATTTGAGATATTATTGAAATTTCTTTTTTTTTTTATAAACTTAGATATTTTTTTTGCAGAGATCAGAAAAGTTGCTTTTATAGATCTGTTCAGGGGTATTGGTCTTCCATATTTTTGTATAGAACCTATAAAAAATGAGGTTTTAAAAAATAAATAAATGAGGGAATGATTAACGGAGTGAGGGAATGATATATTATTATATTATAGTAAAAAACAACATGTACAAATGAAAGAAATTATATATTTTTTATTAATATATATCAAACAATGAAATATCATATTCTAAAGAAAATCAACTCAAAACTTTGTACTTATAGAACATAAACAATCTTTTGTACTTATAGAAAATGACCAACATAAATATATATAAACCCAAAAAAATAACAAATATACTACTATAGATGTAACAAATGTTTTATCTTTATACTTATTACTATTTATTTTTAAACTTTGTACTTAGCACTTCTCCAAAACTTAAATTAAAACATCTTCATATTTATTTATTAAGCATTAATTATTATTAATATTAACCTAAATTAGTCTTTTCTTGGAGTTTTTTGGTATTTGAGATCAATGAGTTATTCAATCTTAATTTTAACATCACTTGTAGAGTCATCTAACTCTGTAATAACGTAATTCCCCCTTTTAACTAACTTTGGCGGCTTTATTTTCTGTATCACATCTTCCCATTTATATAATTGCTCATCTTTAATATAAGGCCATCTCCAAAACTTCACACCTTGCTTCATGCACCTAACCATCAAACCATCTTCAAAAACAGATAGAACTTCTCCGGGATACTTTGACGTGCCCCATTTAATCAGGAAATGATCTCCAATGGTAACAATCTTATCACTGTCGGAGACAACAGTAGATCCTTCATTTTCTAAATCAATTGTATCATTTTCTTTTAACATTTCAGTATGATCTTGAATGCGCGAAGACGACGCTGAAGACAGTTGGTAATTATCCTTCATTATATCCAATTCCATTGACTTTTGAGGGGATTTGCTACGCCTCTTAGTAAATCGATTACTGCGGTGTTGTTGAAAATACCCCAAATGATAGTGGGTACAAACTTCTTCGCAATCTATGCATCAAAGTCTTCTGCACTGTAAGGTGCGAACTGGCGTACTTTTTGTGCTCCCCGGAAAGTAGGAATAGTCTTGGACTGTTTTATGAGATCATCCATCAGCGAAATATCTGCTGTGGTAACTTCAAACAATAAAATAGAAGGACACCTGGATTGAAGGATAGGTTTCAATGAATTCAGGTCTATGATATCATGGCCTTCTGCTACGACTTTATCAGCTGTCCGTTTCAGGGTTCCATCGACACCGTCAGGCGCTCCCTTACCGTACCCGGGTTCAGAATAATGCCATGAAAAGTATGTGATTTCTGGATAGAGATCTTTTAGATGGCGACACACCATTTCGAACATAAATTTATTTTTGTACTGATTAACAGGCCCATCACTCAACATATGTAATCGGGAAATAGGTAAATGTTGTGTTTTTATCCACTCAAATATGGGTTTCAAGTGAGCCCAAACAGCCATTGTGTCATGTCTATTGTCACTAGAGAGAGAACAAAAGGATACAGGTTTGATTGCATTATCCTTGCGCAAGTAAAGCACTCCTGTATGCATTGTTATCTGCTTCCTTCCTCCACCAAAGTGGACAGCTTGTATTTCCTCGTTATATTTACAGCAATAGTTTTCACTGTAATCTACATGAATTAAAATGTTGTTTATTATTAAATTTTTCTTTATATTTTGAATGGCCTGATATTGATGTGCTATAGTGCCAATATGTGAAAAAAAAGCGGTAATGCTGCTTCCAGACTTTGAACAAGCAATTTCAATTTAACCCTATACTCTTTCTTCACGGGTTTACGAACTGTCTTTTTTTTTCATCCTTTTCAAATGAACTGACTTCATAAATCCATTGCTGATAAGTCACAAACTGATTAGGCATTGGTAAATAGTATTCCAAAGAGCGTTCCTTGCAGGTTGAACATTCCCTGAATAGACATTTTGTGGAATGCACATTGCAGGTTATTGTCGCTAAAATTGAAGTCACGTTACGAAATTCCAATGCTTTGACTTCATGCAATTTAGATATCATCAATTGAATATTGGCATGCTGTATGCATTGACAAGTATTTCGGGTATTCACGTTTTGCCAAGTAACCCAAAAGGGTCTAAATCTGCAAAAGGTTGATAAGCTTATCTTATAATTGACCGTGCTTAAGAACTTTTTATGTAAATTATGAAGTGTATCATATAAAACACGCTTTTGTTTAGTTTTACCATTTTTGGATTTAAGATAGTCTTTTTTCCCCGGGCACATCCTTGAGTTTTCATCTTTCTCCAAAAATTTAATTACATCGTCCTTTACCTTCATCATTTTATCGCTTATTTTTCGAGGCTTTTGTCTTTTGTAAGTATCATGTTTAAAAAAAGGTTTCGATGCATGAAGTAACTTATATTTCTGCAATGATTTCAATTTCAACATTTCGTAATATTTTTTCTTTTTTTCATGTTTCTTTCCAAGATCTTTGTAACTAGTCTCTAGATCTCTTGTTAACGCTTCTCCAAAAAGTAATTTCTTCTTCACACTCTCAGGAACGTTTACATTCTTTAGAAGCGCATCTACTTTAGTTCCAGGCGATTCTGGGTCAGTTTTTTTTGTTTTAATTCTCAAATATCTCTTCTTATATTTTTCGCTTAACTTCACTGCATTCTTCAATTTTTTTTCCAAATTTGCAATCTTAGCATACAAAATAGCTCGTCGCCTTCGCATCTGTCGTCTATTTCGAGCAGCTACATCTTCTCTAATTTGCTGCACAACTGATACTGGACTTGGTGGAGGTGTAACATCAATTATTCTTTGAAAATTTTGGTGTGCTATAGCTTTTTTATTCCTATACACTTTACTATTTTCTTTCCATTGTTTTCGCTTTTGTCTAAGTTCTCTAGCATTCATATGAATAACTGGTTTTACTTGACCTTTCTCTTTTTTCTTTAAATATTTTATCTTTCTTTTTCCCAAAGTTTTTCCAAAGATTCAGTATTATTTTTCATTTTTTCTCGCCTTTTTCTATCATACTCTTTCTTTTTTAATTTTTTTCTGCATCACTCAACTTCTTTTGTCGTGCCATTTTGCTTCCACATACTTGCACCTGTTTTAAATTAAATACCATGAAATACAAGTTGCAAGAAATAAATAAAAAATCTAAAAAAAACCGCAGAATACTGGATAAATCATTCCCTCACACGGCCGTCATTTCCTCACTCCTAAATGCAGTGAGGGAATGACTGTGAGGGAATGACGAATTTTAACTTAAGCTACAAAAACACCGACACATAACCTCAATTTGCTTGTTACATTTCGAATATGTATTTTACTCCCAAAAATGCATAAAACCAACAAATTTTAATGATAGATATTAAAATTCTTAATACATTCATGTAACGTGAGGTAATGATCGTCATAAATTTAACTTTTAACAATTTTTCGCAAAATATTTTATTACACGAACTCACCTACGGTTGAGAAGAAATCGCCATCTTGAATCATTTGAGAGTGTTGCCAGGTACTAAAAACTTAAGGTTGCGTTCCTAAATATCGTTTGACACGTTCAGAAATCGAATATTCGTAATAGGATGAGGAAATGATTTTATTTGGCGGGACATATTTAAAATCGAATTATTGTTTTTATAAATTCGTTGTTGTAAGATGGAAGCTTTTATAGACAATAACAAACATCTTTCTTATATATTTGCATAATTTTATTATTAAGAATATTGATATATTTCAGTTAAATAGGCATTTTAGTAATATTTTTGAACTAAGGGACAAGGTGAGGGAATGATTTTCACGGTAACAAAGTAGCCATATCTTTTTTTTCTTTAGAGGTAATACGTTTTCTTTTTAAACAATAGCGCTATAGACAGCGAACATTCAAATAAAAAAAAGACTTATGTAGTTAATGCATATGACTCGGCACTAATGGCTCGGGAATCAAATTTCGAAATTTGATGAGAAATAATCAGGTATAGGTTAATATTGTTTGATTTTTTTTAACAAAAATTATTTTGGTACCTTTAAAAGTATTTTCTAATGAAGAAAATCCCCACTCGGTTAATATTTGGTTTACTCCTTCATCCATAACGCCCAATGCACAAAAATTAATTAACGCGAACCTGCTTCCTCTAGCATTTGCACAAAAATTTTTTGACAGTGACTATATGATCACTATGACACCAAGACTTAACTTTAACCATGGCACCAAGTCGGTCAACTTTATAAAATAAATTTCAATGTCACGTCATGCCAATTTTGGGCGAAAATTGACAACAAAAATATATTTGTTATAAACTGTATTATTTGACTTGTATACCATGTGTGTTAATAAAAAGGGGGTGTGTTTTGTATATAGGTATATATTTATTAATAAAATGAGTAGCCAAGCGCTTTCGTCACCTGTCTAGTGACATCATCAGGGCTAGCCCTGAAAAGTAAGTAAATTTTAGTTTTAAATTGCAAGATTGCTAGCCCTGATGATGTCACTAGACAGGTGACGAAAGCGCTTGGCTACTCATTTTATTAATAAATATATACCTATATACAAAACACACCCCCTTTTTATATTTGTTATGTTTACTTAAGGATACCTATTAGCGGCGACGCATATTGTCAGTAGGGTAAACTAATTCTTTCCAACAAATTCATTTTTGTTCCAAATACTAATGTATTAAACACTTTACTTGGGTTAACAAATTTTTTATTAGGACCAACAAGAACAATTGCAACAAAAAATTTATTGGTTGATAAAACAGATTTGTTTTTTCAGTGTATTATATATATTTTATTTATTTATTTTTAGCCCATAATTGATTTGCGTCCTTAGTCAGTAACTGGTTGTAGTTTTAGACTTCCCGTTCGGAAGAATCTTTTGCAATAATTGTAGTTATTCTCATTCTAAAACACTTTTCACAAAATTCTTAGAAAACGGATGCATTGTTTTTTAATATTAAGGACATTAAAGAAGCTAGTTTTTCAGTAATTTTTTTTATTGTGGAATCATGTTCCTTAGTTTAATCAATGCGACAGTCCGGCAATTTTGTACTCTTTAGGTTTTTAACCTTACACATTAAAAAAAAATCAACTCTAAGCAACACTAATTAGAGTTCACACAGGTCCACACTAAATAGTGTTGTTTTATAACACTACATTTAGAGTTAATTAAACTGAGGATAAAGTAATTTTACACTGTATTAAAAAGTGTTAATTTGCCTAAAATCGTGTACTTCTACACTTCCTGGGTAAAATCCCACTTTTGTTCAGTGTAAATTAACACTACTTTGGAAAAGTTCTAATTTTAGAAAGGTACTTTTACTCTTTTAGTGCAAACTTATTAAATTAACACTATTATTTGAGTAAAATCTATTGGTGGTAAAGGTAAATAAAGAGAAACATTTATTTGGAACAAAAATCTATGACAATTATCAAAATCGGTGCCTTTTAAAATATAATTTTATATTTGAGTCGTATGGCTGGCTTAAGCAAAATGATTCCTTAAAACGTAAAAGTTTTAGATCAAATGCAATGTTTTACTGGCTGTCAACTTGTAAGCAATGAATTATCTTGAGAATTCATCAGTAATCCATTTTTCTGTTATAAAAAATGGGTGATCCCATTGGTAGAGAGGCGTCACGCGGCTGTATGCCGGGGATTTACCACACGTGTACAAATTTTCCATAATATTAATAAAAATGTAGGTATAGGTTAATATAACAACCATTACGCTTGAAAATAAAAAGTAAATTAACTGTGTATGTATTTATATTATTAATGTTACAAGTACCCGACCTACTGCCGTAAATTATTGATATATAATATAGGTCGGGACATCCTTTTAACATATTGGTATTTATTGAGTATTAAGGCTTAAGGAAAAAGAAAGTATAATACCAAAAAATAAGAATGTCCCCTTATGGATTCACCGTAATTAAAATATAACTGAACAAAAATGCCACACTTCCACAACGCGGTATCTCCGGATTTGCACTGCGTAGGTAGATAATTACCAACCAAACATTTTAAAACTCATTTCGGTTATTACCAGTTTTTTCAATCTATTTTGCCACTATTGGTGTAATTTAACTTTAATTGTGATACAATGTGCACTAGTAGTGTAAAGAAAAAAGAGCTCTTAGTAACATCAAAACAGACAAAGAAATTGGCATGCACTGTAGTGTACATTTTGTCACTATTTAACACATTAAGTTGTAATACACTCGCATTAAGTTTTTCTACCCTTTTGATTTATTTTAATAATAAATAGTGTGAATGTACCAATGAATAATGTGCATGTTCTTTAAATGTGTTTAATAAAGTTAATAAGCACTAAATGCTACCTAGTGTATTTTGTAGTGTAACTTTTACACTTACAAATCAACTCTATTATTTTTACCCCTACACTACAAAATTTACACGGGCAAAATTTTTTACTGTGTATTTGTTTAGTTTTTGTACACTCGTTCCAAATCTGTAGTGTTCTGAAAGAAACCATTAACACCTCTTAAAAGCAGAGTGCGTTTTATACTGATCTTATTCTTGTTCTTAAACTTTTTAGAATACCTGAAGAAGAGCTGGATATATCCTCATATATATCCTATAGGAAGCTCTAATGCTAAGTAGAATAATATCTCACATAAACCATTTCTGTTTTAGTTTTTAGAAGAAGATGTAAATCGTTGTGTAACCATTGATGCGCAGAACAGTAATTCATTTATTTTCAATTCAAAATAATTATTAATGTGCAGATGAATCACTACGGTTCCTGACACTACTCTATGGATAAAAGACTACTAATTGATGTCACAAAACTTACTTTTGCGGTTGTCAAAGTATCTCGTGATGTTTTATTAGAAATTGTATTATTTTAAGTGGTACAGTGACATTGTATATTAAGTTGATTATAGTTTTCTGCGCATTAATTAGTGTTCTGTGATCAATGGTTACTGTTTGATTTTCTCCATGCATGCGTACTTAACCTTTCTGCATATTTATTTTTGAATCTTTTTTCGTTTTTTTCCCGCTGTCCCTTTCTATTCTTTTCTATTATTTTCTATTCTTCCTTGCTGTTTTAATGTTAGCACAACTCTCCTCTTTGCTTCTGAAGAAAAACTGTCGTCGACGTTCAACGTTTATTTTAGTCAGAGCGTGTTTCGCAGCAACATTAACATATAAACATATTCTCACGCACAGTATTATTTTCGCTAGATTGTTGAGAGCTAAATATCATTTATACAGTGTTGATAGTTTTTTCACTCAATGCCATGAATAGGTACTTTGGTACGCTTCCCAATATATTGGGTTTTGACTATAGTCAAACCTGCTTCACACGTCTGTTTGCAACTAAAAATTTTAAATGTGCTGTTCGAAGCTAGCTAGTTGGATACGTACTTAATTAGTAAGGCATAAACACAAATTAACATAAACATAGACCACAGATTAAAAATACTTTTCTCTTCGTACCTAACACACTATTTGGTATTTACCCTAATATAATTAATAAAAATAAATTAATTTTGATACCAAAATTATCTTCTTGTTTATCCTTTTAGCAGGTGAAAAAAATCACTCAATTTAATTAATAATGTTTTTCAAAATTTTTACAATTTTACCAAGATATTATTCTAGACATCCAAAAACTTAAACAAATGACATTAATGGTTTATGAAATATTTACTTTCTGGGCAACCAGTTCACTCAGGTCCACTCTACATAGTGTTGTTTTATAACACTAAAATTAGAGCAATTTTGTAGTGTAATTTTTCCCAAGTAGGCAAGGTAATAATAAAGTAATTTTACATTGTATTAAAGTGTTAATTTACCTAAAATTGTGTACTTTTACGCTTTACTGTTTAGTGTAAATTAAGACTACTTTGGAAAAGTTCTAATTTTAGAAGAGTAAT